ACACTGTAACTGTATACTTACAGTGCTCTGTATTTCTCCTGAGAGCATTCATTGGTTGAGGAGCATATTCAGTTTGTATGTGGTAATGTGAAGGGTTATAGTCATTACCCTTAGTTTTGATAAGTCACTAGAAGTTCTCATAGAACTCACTAAAAGTTGCTTTACTCATGGTTTTATTTTATTACAACAAAAAGAATTCAGATTAATATTAGTTAAGGGAAGAGAGACACGAGGAAGAATCCAGGCAAGTTGCACACAAAGAGCTTACAGTTCTTAGCCCAGTGGAGTCATAGACAGAGTATAGTCAACACTTGAGTTTTATGTCCAGAGTTTATACTGGAGCTCGATCACATGAGCAACAGGTTGACTGATCTCTAGGAGATACCATATGGCCCACAGCTCCCGTCACAAGTCACATCATTAGACTGTCTAGTCTAGGCTTCATGGTAGCTCTGGAAGTGAATAGCAGGGGTCCTCTCAAGAAGATGGATTGGAATATGTGGGAATACACAAAGAGGGTTTCTTGGAATTTCTAGATCGGAAGGGTATGTATGGGATCAGTTATTGGTGATCTCTGATGGGCTGAAGTGGCGGGTGTTTGTAAGAGAATGATTTAGAGAGCATTAGTAGTCAATGTCACCACTGGACCAATAAATGACATCCAGGTAAATGGAGTAAAGACTGACTTTGCCAAAGACTTCATTTTGCTCAGATCAACCATCAACACTCATGCAAGCAACAGTCAAGAAATCAAATGATGTACTGAATTAGGCAAATCTGCTGCACAAGACCTCTTTAAAGTGTTCAAGAGCAAAGATGGCAGTTTGAGGGCTATGGTGTGACTGACCTAAGCCATGATATTTTCAATAACCTCATATGCATGTGAAATCTGGACAGTGAATAAGGAAGACAGTAGAAGAATTGCTGCATTTGAGTTATGGTGTTGGAGGAGAATATTAAAAGTACCATGGACTGACAAAAGAAAAACTAGTATGTATTGCAAGAAGTACAGCCAGTCCTCCTTGGAGGCCAGGATAGCCAGACTTCATTTCTCTTACTTTGGACATATTATCAGGAGGGACCAGTCACTGAAGAAGGACATCATGTTTGGTAAAGTGGAGGGTTGGAGAAAAAGAGGAAGACTCCCAACAAGATGGATTGACACAGTGACAGTAGCAATGGACTCAAACATAGCAACGACTGTAAGGTTGGCACTGGACTGCTCACTGTTTTATTTTGCTATGCTTAGGGTTGTTATGAGTTGATACTAACTTGAAGGCTCCTAACAACAACTGGAGTCATTTGTCTTTAGGTGCCATCAAGTTAGTATTTGGGTATTCTAAGTTCTGCAATTTGGGGATTCTAAGTTCTGGGGGCAGTCATGGTTTGAGGAACTGGAATTGGTGGTTGTAGAAACATTGGAGGTCAAGGTGAAGCAGGTTCTTCTTTCTGGCAAAGATAATGATATGTTCATCTGTGACAGCATCCAAGAGTGAACCTGGTTTCGAGGAATCCATTCTGACTCCATGACAGCTAGGATAGATATGACCTTTCCTGTGGTTAGCAAACAGAGTTCACTGACTATAACACATTGGAGCTCCATTAGTTGTTTCTTGATAAAGAGAAATCCACAGCAACCACCACAAAAATAAAACTGAAAACTTTTAGAAATTATTTTTCACTGGAATGAAATTTGAACTAACATGTTGGACTGCAAGGTCATTTTGAACCGCAAGGTTGGTGGTTCCAGCTCACCAGCCTCTCCTCAGAAACTCTATTCAGGATGGCTTTGAGTCGAAACGGACTTGACAGTACTTAACAACAACAACAATGGTCATTAGGAGTCCTGATGTGGTGCTGTAGCATTACCAAACTGGACTGCTGTAGTTATGCTGTAACATAACTGGACTGCTAACTAAATGGTTGGTGATTCAAACCCAACAGCTGCTCCTTGAAAACCCTCATAGGATTTTAATGAGCCAGAATTGACTTAGCACTTAAGAACAGCAATGATGGTCATGAAGGTGGGCAGAGACAAAAGTACAAATAAAATGGAAATTAGATTTAACCATCAACCAGACTATTGAAAAGGTACAGTCCCCAAGCAATATTTTAATTCTTTGTGCCAACAAAACAGTTTGCTTTTAAAAGCATTATATTCAGTGTTTATATAGCCTTCAGACAAAGTACAATATCCATGAAGTTTTTAAGAAACAAAGGAAGCTAAGGGCTAAGGCAGGTGGAATGTGACCATGCTCAGGTTTTTGTATTGGCAGTTCCTATTTTTTCGTTGTTCAGAATCAAGAATAGGTAGTTCTTTGTCACTCAGAAATCATTTGCCTGAGTAGGGAGTCTGGCACTTCTTTTTTTTTTTTTTTTTTCCCAAGTTGATTTTTTTTCATCACCCTATTGTGGTGCTTTAGGAAAATGCATTGGACCACAAGGTCAATTTGAACCACAAAGTTGGCAGTTTGAACCTACCAGTCACTCCTTGGAAACCCTATATAGAGTCACTATGAATCTGAATCAACTCAACAGCAACTTAACAATAACAACATTGCTCAGTGCTAGGTTTAGAATCACATAATTCAAAATATATAACATAATATTTTACTGATCTATAAGATACAGTGGGGAGTTCGTTGACTCCATAAGATGTGCATTGAACTACAAACCACAAGGTTGGCAGCTTGATCCCACCAACAGCTCCTTGGGAGAAAGATGAAGCTCTCTGCTTCCACAAAAATTGAAAAATCTTCATAACCCCTCTACAGGCTCACTATGAGTCAGAAACAGCTCCAAGGCACTTAACAACTACAGTGTAGTTCTCAGGTAAATAAAGACATATGTTTCAGGCAGCTCCTTCCAAGAATCTAGAGATCACCTCTAAGAATCAAGTGCAAAAGCCCGACCTCTTTTTGGGTGAGGTTAATTCTTTACTAAGAGTCCCTGGGTGGCATATACAATTAAGCGCTCAACTACTAGAGGTCCTGGCATGGCACTGGTCCTATGTGACACTGGACTACCAACCACAAGGTTGGCAATTCAAACTCACCAGGCAGTCTTCAGAGATCCAGGGCCATTATCAATTGGAACTAACTCAATGGCATGCACCACCAACAACTAACAGAAAGGGTAGTGGCTTTAATAGACTCAGAGGCATCTTAGAATATCAGCATGGCAATGTGTTTCTGCAAGATCACAGCCTTATGGAGATCTTATGGAGTTGTTCTACTTTGCACTCATGGGGTCACCGTAAGTCACAGTTGACTCAACTGCAGCTAACATCAATGAAAACAAAAATAATTCCTTATTTTGTTGTTGTTGTTAGGTGCCATCGAGTCGGTACCAACTCATAGTGCCTTTATGCACAGCAGAACGAAACACTGCCCGGTCCTGGGCCAACCTCACTACTGTTGCCACACTTTAGTCCATCATGCTGCCACTTAGCCAATCTATCTCATTGGGAGTCTTCTTCTCTTTCTCTGTTCCTCTACCTTACCAAACATGATATCCTTCTCCAGCAACTGATCCCTCCAGATGAAGCAGCAGTCAAGAAATCAAATGACGTATTGCATTAGGCAAATCTGCTGCCCAAGACCATTTTAAAGTGTTGAAGAACAAAGATGTCAGCTTGAGGACTAAGGTGCACCTGACCCAAGCCATGGTATTTTCAATAATCTCATATGCTTGCGAAAGCTGAACAGTGAATAAGGAATTCCTTACTACACAGCAGTAAAGAAGTGCCAGAAAGTTAATGTGGCTGGAACAACCTTTAACAGATGAGCCAGGCATTGGGAGACAAATGTCCCTGCCCCTCATCTCTCAGTAGGGCAATTATGAAGTAGGTCCCACCATTTTTCAGAGAATTCCCCATGTGACTGGGCTCCAGTTACCCATAAAGGGAACTGGTTGATAATGCATACTTTCATTATTGTTTCTTTATTTTCCCCTTTCCAGTTGTCACATCTGACAACCGGCTATACTCCACGACCGGTGCAGAGAAATTAAACCTGAGTAGGGGCGATGGGGGAGTCCTGGTGTGGTGCTGTAGGTTAATGCACCAGACTGCAAAGCCATTTGAACTGCAAGGTCAGCGGTTCAAGCTCACTAGCTGCTCCTCAGAAACCCTTACAGGGTTGCTATGGGTCGGAATCAATTTGATGGCACTTAGCAACAACAACACAATAAAGGTGATGGGAGATTAGAAATAAAAAGGAAGACACAAGACACAAATGAAAATAGTAAAGTCGGGATTGGTACCAGGTGGGACACAGCACTCTGATGGAGATACTCAGAGTGACTCAGACCTAGATTCAGCTCGTTTATTACATACACATATCAAAGGAAAGTGCCGGGGGGAGGGAAAATAATGCAAAAAACATCTGGTGCTATTGATGCAAGCAGTAAGCAGGACCATATCAAAAGAATGTAGTTGCTAGGGAAACAGAGATAGATGTTTTTGCAGACTACACTGAAGGCCATAGCTGCATACAAGGAAAGACTTCGTAAATTCCTTGTTCCCTGAGGCAGGCTTTGCAAGTTCCTCAGAGGGCAGCCTGACCTGGGAGCAGCCTGATTTTCTGGACCACAACTGTTCATTTGTAATCCTTCGGTTAAACTGCCCCCAAGTCTGAGACCTTTGGTTTTGTTGTTCCCAACATCCATCTATACTACATCATAGTGTTATCTAAGATCATCACTCAGATAAACAAATTGTACCTCTTTGTTTTAGTTTGCTTTTAGGGAACACAAACAAAATAAACGGAATGCATAAAGTTCAATATCTTAGGGCACAGTGAGTGCCTCCGAGGCCCTGGGCTCCAGACCCCTTTGGTGGCAGTGGCCAGAATAATAGGGTGAGGGTCCTACCGCCTGACTTTTCTACCATTCTCCCTCCCCTTCCCTGAAACTCCTGCATCAAAGAGAAGTAGTTGGAGAAGGAGCAGCAACGTTGGGTTGCGGGCTCTTGTTCTCTCATCCTGTCCTGGTTAGGCAGAATGCCCCAGGTAATGGAACAGTCTTCTGGAGGAGGAAAAGGAGGGCTATTCACCAACACTAATAACATTGGCATGGCCTTGCCTAATGACAAGTATGACTTGCACGACCTCTCTAAAGCTGAACTGGCTATGCCTCAGCTTATCATGTTGGAATATGTAGCTTTGACTGGCAAAGTAAATAGCAGCTGCTGTGATTACTTGGTTGGTGAAGAAAGACAAATGACAGAATTGATGCCTGTTGGGGATAATAACTTCCACAGTGATGCAGAAGTGCTTGAAGACTCTTCTCAAATAAAAGGTGAATCTAATGGACTGGAAAATATGGACCTGGAAAGTTTGGAACTCAATGTTGTAGAATCTCAACCTGTATTTGAGGTGACTGTTGTCCCAAAAGTTTATAACGCAAATAAAGATCTTTCTACTGAAACACCTGGAACAGAGGACAAATGCAAGAACTTGAAGACCAAACCTTTTCACTGTAAGTCATGCCAACATGAAGCAGAATCTGTAGAACAGTTTGTGCATCATATCAGAGTTCACAGTACCAAGAAATTTGTTGTGGAAGAAAGTGCAGAGAAACAATCAAAACCCAGGGAATTGCGCTCTTCCACTACAGAACAGGGAGATTTCTCCAAGGACCCCATTCACTGTGGCCGGTGTGGCTACAATACCAAAGATATGATCACTATACTGAACATTTGAAACACTACACTAGAGCTGGGGACCATGAGTGAGTCTACATATACCACAGTAAGTGAGTATCACTGGAGGAAACAGTTGAGAAACCATTTTCCTAGGAAAGTCTACACATGTGGAAATGCAACTATTTGTCAGACCAAAAAAACAATTATGTTCAACATGTTTGAACTCACACAGGAGAACGCGCATATAAATGTGAACTTTGTCCTTACTCAAGTTCTCAGAAGACTCATTTAACTAGACACATGCATACTCATTCAAGAAATAGCAACCTTGTCCATACAACCCAACCCAATCACAACCATACCCTCTGCTACTCCACCCAGTGGGCAAGAGCCAATACCAGATCCTATACCACCTGATCAACGATATACAGTAGCCAACACCATCCAAATGCACCCTACAATGCGATGCATGAGGCAAACAAGAACAGTGCACATGCTTCCATTCTCTAACTACATCCACAGGAGACAAAAAGCCTAAGAACACAACAACATACAATAATCAATTAAATATAAATACGTTAACTCCATAAAACACCAGAGACAACAGCCAATTTTGCGAGAATGGCTCAAACAAATGACCAAGATGCAGAGACAGAAAACATTTCTGAGGAAAAAAAGACGATGGAACTAACTGAAAAAGAATTTAAAAGAATGACAATCAGTAAAAAGAATGGAAAAAAAAATCATAAAAAAGCCTGTGTTATGTGGTAAACCATGAAGATGAAAAACTGTGATCAGAATTCTAGAACACAAAGAAAATAAAAAGCACAGAGAAAATTATTGAACAGTTGTTGGAAGAAAAGTTCCCTAACACATCATGAAAGACAAGAAGATGAGCATTCAAGAAGCAGAATAAACCCCAAACACGATAGACCCCCAAAGAAAGTCAGCAAAACACAGTATCAAAAATTGAATATAACGAAAGAATACTGAGAGCAGTTTGGAGAGAATGAAAAGTTACCTACAAAGAATTTCTCAGAAGAAACCATTCAGGCAACTCTGAAAGAAAAAATTGCCAACCAAGAATCATATCCCCAGGAAAGCTGTCCCTCAAATATGATGGTGAAGGTCCCTGGTACCATGAAGGGAGAAGAGTGGAGAGCGGGACCCTACCCAGAGAAGCAGTGATGCCTGAGATGGAGGCATGGAGCAGCTGGGGACTTTAGACCCAGAGAGGGAGAGGGACAGTGTGTTGACCACTGGGGGGCGGAGGGTGGGGGGAGGACAGGGCAGGCTTGCAGGGTATATCCTTTGGTTGGTTGATGATGCATGGAGGGGGTTGTTGCCATGGCAATGAAAAAATATATGATAGGATGAATGTAAAACTAATGTTCTCCCATGTAAACTATCACATAATTCATAATAAAACATTAAGAAAACATACGTGATGGTGAAATTTGTATGTTTCTTGATAAGAAGAAATTAAATGAATTTTTAATGACCAGAACAACATTACAAAAAGTGCTAATGGATATTCTTTGGATTGAGAAACAACAACAGCAGACTACAACCTGAGATTACTATACACAACAACATCAGTCAGAACTCAATCCAGATATAGAAGAGAACCAGAGATGTCAGTTTATAATGAAGTCAACTACAATGCAAAAAGAGGAAATAGTGTAGATACAGAACTTCTAAAAGGCAAAGAAATCAAGATACAACAGACTGTTTTAAATAGGAAAAAAGGCTAACAAATTACAGGATAGCCTAAAAGAAAATTGATAAATTCAAACATCAAAATTAAAGAAGAGGAACATCAGAAATAGCTATTAAACATGAACACAACAGAAAACCCACAAACAAAATGAACTCAAAGCAGAAAATTATATGGAACAAAGAAACCAGCAGCACCACATAAAAACACACAAAGCAAAGTGGGAAAAAGTCCATTCATACTTATTGATAACTACACTGAATGTAAATGGATTAAATGCACCAATCAACAGAGAGAGCAGAATGGATAAGAAAACAGGATTCTTCAGTATACTGTCTACAAGAGACACATCAAAACTATCAGAGACAGCCTAAATGTCCATCAGCAGAAGAATGGTTAAACAAACTTTGGTACACACACACAACTGAGCATACTTCAATACTGAAGAATAACAATGAATCTGTGAAACATCTCACAACATGGATGAACCTGAGAGGACATTATGCTGAGTGAAATTAGTGAATCACAAAAGGACAAATATTATGTGTGATCACTGCTGTAAAAAGTTAAAAGTTTTTCTTGATAAAAGAAACAATCTATGATGGTTACGAGGGGAGGAGAAATGATGCACAGGCTAGAATTGTTAACATAGGTGACAGGACAGGCAATATACAACAGGGAAGTTAGCAGAGGAAAGATGCAGGTAGCAGAAGACACAGGTAGGAATGCAATAGTTAAAATGAATACAGGTAAACACTGTTAACTGTTGGTACATGGAAGGGATTGCAATCATTGTAATGAAGAAAAATGCAAGATTTTTTGACTGTATAACTGATGATCTGCTCTGTAAAACTCCAGTCAATTCACAATAAAAAGTTAAAACACACACACACAAAAAAAACCGATATCCTAAGCATTAATGAGCTGAAATACACTGCTATTAGCCATTTTGAATCAGACAATCATGCGGTTCACTATGCCGGGAATGACAAATTTACGAGGAATGATGCCACATTTATCGTCAAAAAGACCATTTCAAGATCTGTCTTGAAGTACAATGCTGAATGACTTGATGTGGGACCAAGGAACTGGAATTGGTGGTTGTGGAAACATTGAAAGTCAATGTGAAGCAGGTTCTTCTTTCTGGCAAAGATATGTCCATCTTAAAAACAGCAACAAAACAAAGAAGACCAGTTGATATCACTAAAGCCAGTTATGATGTAATTGAAGAATTCTACTAACTTCTTCAGTTTGAAATTGATCAAACCTGCAATCAAGTTGTATTGACAATTACTGGTGCTTGCAATACAAAGGTTGTAAGCAAAGAGGAAGGATCAGTAGTTGGAAAATATGGCCCTGGTGATAGAAATGGTGCTGTAGAATACATTACAGAATTTTGCAAGACCAATGACTTCTTTTTTTAATTTATTGTGAACTGAGTGATAGTTTACATGGAAGAACATTGGCTTTACACCATCGTTTCATTGCAATGATTACAATCTCCTCTGTGCAACATCATTCAACAGTATTTGCTTCAATTTCTTCTATTTTTCTTTGTTTTGGAGCTGGGGTGAGGAGATGTACAAGGGCACATTCTGCAAGCCTGCTTTCTGGCTGCCAGAATTCAGTCCCTCTTTTTTTCCATGAGGCTAGAGTCCTCGGTTGGAGTCTCTGTCCATGCCTCCATATCTGGTGTTGCAAAACTTTTTTTGTTACAAAACTTCTACCTTTACAGTTGTGACAGTCGCAATTAGTCATGATAACAATTACTCCCTATTGAATCATAAGAATCTCATCCCCATCTCTTTTCAACAGACCTGTCTAGACAAGATGAAAACTGTTCAGTGGGGAGTCTATCTTCCCGTGCACACTCTTAAACTAAACTCCCTCTTGAAAACTTGTAAGTCAGTCATTTCCTGCCTTTATCACCCCTTCATTATATTTTACTTATTGTTTGTTTTTTAAGTTTTACTGTGAATTGTTGAGTGATAGTTCAAATGGGAGAACATCAGTTTTACACTCATCATTTCATTGCAATGATTGCAATCCTCTCTGTGCATCATCATTCAACTTCTATTCCCTGCTTTGATTTGTTTTGGGTTTTTTTTGTGTGTGGGGGGATGTACACAAAAACACTCAGGAATATATAATCATTTAAACAACCAAAGGGCACATTCTGGAAGCCTGCCTTCTGACCACCAGCACACAGCCTTTCTCTTTCCATGAATCTAGACTCCTCAGCTACTCTCTCTCTCTCTCCATGTTATCATGTCTGTCTCCAGCTCTGATATCACTGGTTCTCTGGATAGGGTCTCATCAAAAAGTTGTAAAACTGACAACCCTCCCATTTCAAATTTTATTACAAAGTTACATTATCAACAGTGTAATATGATCATATACATTTTACATACCTATAAGGACTTCATTCTTCTTGGATCAACTATCAACACTCATGGAAGCAGCAGTCAAGAGACCAGA